GGAGAGTTTCACTTCTACTATACATATTTGTATTCCCTTGATTTCTTCACACAATGCCAAATATAAAGAAATGCATACAAGGACCTAGATTTAGAAATTATTTGATAGGACTATTCAAATGTGAGGTGTGCCTGATCCACCAAGGGAATTAGATAGCTTGCTAATAATGAAAATAAGTTACATGAGACAGAACAGGAAAACTGAGTGCCTCCAGGCAGGAGGCTTACTTGTGGAGTGGGGTGACTCCTGGGTACTTCTGTGGGGAGCTAGGTTTGCTGAGTTGCAAAGCTAGAACTGAGCACCTTCGGGCCAATGCCTCCTCACAGAGTGGGTGTTTGAACAGCAGGACTACACTTCCCAAGTAGGTATTGTAACCTCTTCATTCCCTAAGATACCCCTTCATCGTGTGGCCTGTGAGTTGTATGCGAGACCCTTGCAACCAGTGATCCAGAGCAGCGGAGTGCCATGACAAGACAGCTGGTGCTAACACTGATAAGACGGTTGGAGGCATTGACCAAGGCCTGATGGTCAGGTTGATTTTCCTTCCTCCTTGTGCAGTCAGAGAAGGTCAGTTGCTGCTCCCAGGCCATTTGGAGATGCGTCAGTGACCTGGATTGAAAAGCGACTGCAACCCTGGACTCAAACACAGCAGCCGTGGTGAATGGTGCAGAACCACACAGCCTTTCCTTCTGCTGCATACAGGGTCTCGAGGAGCTGGGGCCACAGTGATGGTGCCTAGCAACAGGATCGAGGAGAGCTGCCCAGAGGGCATCTCAAGCGCAGTTTTCAGAAGCAGACTGACATTGAATTTTCCCAGAGAAGCTGCTTGCCTTTGGCTAGCAGTCCAGGCTAACCACAGAGAAACTGGCAGTGGCAGGGGACTTTAAAGCTTTGAGGGGAAAGGGGCAAAAAAAAGAGGGAAGCACATCCTGCCTCACCAAGCCCTGAGGACAATGTTCCTGCTCAGAACAGCAATGCACAGAGATGACCCCAGGGCAGGCCTCACCACGGGACACAGCGTTCCTCACTGACCCATAGCACCATTGGGGACAACACTAGGGACACACGGCAGGAACTGTACCCCCGAGGTCACTGTGCCGAAGCCAGCCTCGAAGCCAGCAGAGCAGCGGGGGGAGCAGGGCAATGAAGTCCCCAGGGATAGATGTGGTGCCAGGAGGGCATGGCACCCCTTCAGACTCGACTGGAAAGCACTCGTAAATGACAACAAATAGACCCTGAACTATTTATACAGTTTTTTGTGTGTTGTTGTTGTAGCTATTGTTTTACTTTCTATTGTTGCTTCGTTGTACTCAGTCTTGTGATGGTACATAGCATGTCTACCTAGAAGGGATGGGAGGTATAAACAGTCCAGAAGAGAGAACAACAGGATGATAATTCCGGGGGGACATGGGAGTAGGGGAGGTGGGGGAAAGGAAGTGGGTGCTAACAAACCCAGGGACAAGGGAACAACAAGTGATCCGAAATCAGTGGCAGGAGGGTATAATAGGTCTGGCAAGGCTGGATCAAGGGCAATGTAACCGAGATGAATTCCTAAAACCCAAATGAA